TTTCTTTCTTTCTTTCTTTCAACTTCTGCCTAAAACTTATCCTTAAATGAATGGTTGCACCACAGAACAGCAGATTAGAGCTGAAAAATGAAGAACAAAATCAATTGCTTGGTCTGTATAATGGTAAACACTGTTGGTGTTGATGAAGGATTATTTTCTCAGTGTTAAATATTTGTTTTGGCCCTGCTGAACTTTAAATTTTAACCTGTAATTGAATATTTATTCCTCTTTAACATATGATAATTGACCCAAGGCTGTGTTTTAATGATTGCCTCACAATATGACAAGGTACAAACTCTGTTAGTGAAAGCTTTGCAGGCATATCTTGGTGCATTCTTACTAGAACAGATGGGTTTTGGTCTCTTCTAAAAATATGTTAGGCCTCGTAAAAATGAATTTATGTAGAATTAATTCATGCAAAATATTATCAGAAAAATTTTAGCACTGTTTTAAGGAATGGTACACTAATTCAGATCAACAGCTCATCTTTCAGGACCACAACAATGAGTATGGAGTTGTGAGGTTGTTGTCGCAAATAATTTATCTAATAGGAACAAGATAGGCCAAGGTTTTGCTGTGGGTTTCAAAAGTATTTCTTGTATTTTGCCTTTGAGTAAATATCAGATTAAGTAGAAAATAAGAGTAGATCCCACATTAGAGGAAATCATGATATAAAATTCATACCAATATCTAGTGGCCCAGGTTCCAGTTTAAAGTAATTCATGTTTAGAAATAAAATTGTGCTCATTACAAAGAAGGAATAGCATAGAAGAAAAATAGGTATCCTCTGATAACAAATCTCTCGAGACCTACTAAAGCTCAGAATCAGTTCCTCCAGGACCATCTGTGGATTTTTTTGGCGTGCTAACCTAGACTATCACTATTATTGAGTGATGTCTGTTTCTGCCCCTAGTAATGCTACTGCTCATGATAGGAAAATCTACTAACAAGGTTGACACAAAACACACTTTTCAGTACTCTACCTCTGTAGCTTCCCCTATTCACCTGAGAGCTCAGTGCCCTACCCTATTCCTGCTAGTCTGTCCCAGTATAACAGTTAAACATCCTTCTACTTCTTACAATACGTACATTTTTTTCCTCAGCCAGTTGTGACATAAACTTTTCTCACATTTAAGTTCCTCAAAATCTGTTATTTCATACATCATTACCTACTTCTTCAAAATTATTTGCAATAATTATTAGTGTAGCACTTTTCTAATGTTTAATGTTTGGTTAATAAAAGTTATCATCTTGTAACTTAGGAAGAAATGCTTTGATTGTGCATTCTTTATTTTCTGTGGGTTTTTGAGACAGGATCTCACTTTGTGGTTCAGGTTGGCCTTGAACTCATTGCTGGTATGTATCCCAGTCTGACCTCACACAGCAAACCTCCTGCCTCAAACTCCCAAGTACTGGGATTGTAGGTGTGCACCACCAATCCTAGCTTGATAATGAATTCTTAAGATGAAAATAATCAATAATAAATGTTTTGATTGTAAGTTAGGCAATTATGGTTATGGACAAGAAATAGAAGAGAATATAGAATAAAGTGTTTACTATTGTGTGATACAATGCACTAACATTTTTGAAAATGGGAATTATTCAAATGACAAAGTGTTTCCAGATCTCAAGAAATGAAAATATGCATTAGCTCATTTAGTATTAAAATGTGTTTAAACACCTTTCTAAATTTAAAATAAATTTATTGATTACTTTTGGACTAAAATGAAAATTTTAATACGGCTTAGGCACACATAAGACTTTTTAATGGATGGAAAATTGTTGAGTTACTTTTGTCTTCACAGGGATATTTTGAAGACAGTTATGCAATCTATATTGTGCGACCTATAATTCTTTCCCATGCAATTCATTTCAGACATTATTTTAGAGGTATTGATATATATCTTCAAACTTGGTAAGTTTTTAGAAAAGAATTTAATTAAATATGCTGCCAAGTAATACAACACATCCACAAAAAAAACTTCTGAGGTAATCTCTCCTCTACTGGTATTTAAAGAATTGGCTTATTTTATAATGTTATGTATGACTAAATAATTCAAAACAAGCTTTTATTAATTTATTACATATAAATTTTAATAAACTAAATATATTTTAATTCTGTTAGACTTGGTTAATAAGATTCATTAATTCTTGTAACTAGATTTTTATGTGTTCATAATGCTTCACGTATTATCAAATAACAAGAATAATTATAGATTGCTCTAGTCAGCTGTCAACAGGTAAGACTTGGTTAGGCAATTTTCTATGAGCAATTAAGAGTAAAGTCAACACTGTCCTTACTTTTAGAAAGCTTCTGACTTAACTGAGAGGAGAAATAAGTACTCAGTAGGGAAAAATCATTGATCTTGTACTTCATATTTATAATAACATGTTTATTAATTCATTTGCATGTTGAATCACTTTATACATTAAAAGAAAAATCGGAACAAAAAGGAGAAAGGAAGCATAGAATATCAGATGGATTAATAAAGATGCACTAACTGATATTCATATTTGAATCCTAGCAGCAAAGAGAAAGATGATTTTCTAAAGTCTATGTCATGCTCAAAATTTAAAAAGAAAAACATTGAATTTCACAAGCGATAAAATGTTTTATCTTTTTATTCTTGTTTTATTATTCTGGCACTGTTTTTATTTCTATCTGGCTCAAAAATTCTAAAACAAAACCAACAACAAAAAAAAAACCCCAATGTCACCCTATATTTAGGAATAAACACAAAACCTTACTTCAAAATTTTCTGATGATAATGTCCTACTATCTGTCCAAGCATGGCCTCGAGCCATTAAAACAAAAAGTTTAAGTGTGCCCTTTGAGTCCAAAATGTCTTCATGAAGGTAGTAGCACTTCTGTAAGACCATGTAAGGTGAGTCATCCCCGGTTT